TGTGAAATGGACATTTCATGGACCAACCACCGGGAGGAGTGGTGCTCCTCAGACCTCTCAGAGACACACCCTGCGGGTGTTAGGATCAGTGACGTCCAGGGAAGGCATCAGGTGTGAGGGCAGCTACCCGAGCCCTCTCTGGGTCCACCGTCCTCATGTGTCTGGACCGGGGAAAATGTAGGGCAGCAAACCTGTGTGCAGCCCTTGATTGATTGTGAAGGGCGTTCAGATTTCAGTTAGGGAGGCGGACTTTGGGTCCAGAGGATCCGGAATTCAGTGGTGATTTTGCCACACGCCCGTGAGCTCTGAGCGGGGGAGTGAAGCTCTCTCCACAACAGGTGAGATGGACCCAGCGGCTGTGATGAGGGGCTCACCCACAGCAGGGATCGTGAGCGCGGGGCAGGGCCAGGCCGTGCTTGGCGCCGTTGGGCGGAGGGTGGCTCTGAGTCGGAGCCAACTGCACAGCATTTTCTTCATGGAGGAGGGAGGCCCTGATGAATGAAACTGTAGAAGCTTTTGTTTTCTCTGGAAACTGCCTGTGGGGATGGGTTAGGCCCCAGGGAGAGCCAGGGAGGCCTGAGGGCTGCAGTGTCAGAGGAGAGAAGGGAAGGGGTGGGTGCTGGGGAGGGTTCCCAGTGAGGGGCCGCAGAAGTTTTGCCCAATGTGCGCTGGTCAGAGAGAGGACAATGTGTCCCGAATGAGGATGACAGTGTATTAGCTACGGACAGATCACTAGTAGCAAAGCCCTCATACTATATGGCAGAAGGTGATGGAATGCTTTGTGTATGACCATATTTTTAAGCAAATGACACACACATTATTTTTTATGTTTATTTATTTATTTGTCTGTTTGTTTACAAACCACACAACCCCTTACTTTCCTATTAACACTATGCATATTACATGTGAAGAATACCGTCAGTCAGCCTTTCAGTTGTATACAACAGCATCTCCTCTGTTAGTTCTCTCCAGACCTACGGGATGGGTGGTTAGGTCCTATCACCTCACCGGTTCTGCCTTCCTGAGATGGTCAGTTCTGTCTCACTTTGCAAGAATAAACTATGTGTTTCTCTTCACCAGTTCAAAGATAAGTTTTAATGCAGAGAAATCTCCAGTGGGAATGTCTCCACCAAATCTTCTCATTGAGAAAAAGTTCAAAACTGAGGCCTCTGGGCCTAGGGGTTTTTGGTAGCACTTCTCTATCTTCTGAGCCACTGTGAGTAATGATAGCTGCTCCTACTGCCATGGTATGTTGTTGTTGTCATGTGGTATATAGCAAAGTAGTTATCGGCCTCGTCCTCAGGCTGCAGCCCAGAGATGAGCAGGAGCCCTGCATTGGCCGAGGCATCTTTGGCTCCAGAAAAGTGGCTGAGGATCCCAGAGCCCTGGTGTTTATTTGAATCAGAGTAGTAGTACAGGAGATAGCGCGGACGGCTCCCTGG